TTGTCAGTCAGCCCCTTTGTTAAAGTGTGAGTTCAACTTTTTTCCAAGGTTTTCCAAAAGTCCCCCTGTGCAATTCCATATCTACTGAATAGTACATACCAGTGCTACACCTGTTTCTAATGCCGTACTGTCTCCCATCACATACACCACTGGCCCCTTGATCCCTCTCTGTCCAGCCATTTGCAAGACGGGCTGGTCATTACTATTGTGAGCCCCATAGTGGCCCTTGCAACCTGTGCATGGGTGATCTCTCCACCTCCAGCTGAGCTCAGTAGTGGCCTCTCTGCACTGTACAAACTGCTTATGTGCGCTCCCACCTTCCCCTTTTGAGTTCCCCTTATGGGTGGAACTCCGCTTTAAAGCCGGAGGAGATAGAAATAAAGGAGTGGTGACATTTCTAATTTATGTGCTGCCACCTTCAGGTCAATAACTGAAATTCTCAGATTAAAGCAATAAAATGAAAGTGGTTGTAAAGCAAAATGTTTCTTTTACCTTTCTCTGCACTAAGATAAAAACTCTTCCAATAGTAGCGCCTTTCCAGACCCCTTACCTAAGTCATGTATCGATCCAGCCCTGTGCCGGGCTTCAGTTCTTCTCTCCCCTCTTCCTGCTCTCACAGACTTGGCTGAGAGCATTGGAAGCCATTGGCTGCTGATGCTGTCAGTCAGATCATGTGAGGAGGGAGCAGGAGGCATGGCCGAGCCACACTGTGTTTGTCTATGGACGCACACAGCCTGACTCAGTAGCACCCACAAGGAGGATCGGACAGCAGAAGAGGAGGAGGAGTCACTTTGTGCAAAACTAGTGCACAGAGCAGGTAAGTATAACACGTTTGTTATCTGAATTAAAAAAAAAAATTACAACTGCTTTAAGTCGTAAATTGGAGTTGAAAACCCATCCCGTGCTCATATTTATTTATTTCAGGTACTTATATAGCGCCGTCAATTTACGCAGCACTTTACATATATATTGTACATTCACATCAGTCCCTAACCCTCAAGGGGCGTACAATCTAAGGTCCCTAACTTACATTCATACATACACATAGAAGGGACAATTTGGACAGGAATCAATTCACCTACCAGCATGTCTTTGGAGTGTGGAAGGAAACCCACGCAGGCACAGGGAGAACATACAAACTCCAGGCAGGTGGAGCCATGGTTGGGACTCAAACCAATGACCTTAGTACTGCCAGGCGGAAGTGCTAACCATTTAGCCACTGTGCTGCCTTTCATATAACATTTTTTTTGTATAAGTTGTACCGACTCCTTTCTTGGACTGAAATGGCTTATTCTGGTTTCACTGCACACTGTGAGCTTCTTACAATGTGCATTAGAAGGCGCAGCAAGTCAGATAGAGCCTGCCTCATTTCCTGGCCGGAAGACATCCACCATCATCTAGCACTTTCCCCTCCAGTCTGGCTGTCTCCAGCGTGCCCTTTTCATTCATTAGAGTTCAGTCCTTTCATTTATGGAGGCTCACCATCACAAGTGAGCAGCCTGCATGCAAATAAAGCCTGCTTGGGAATGCCCACTGCTCCAGACTGTAAAAAAAGAGCATGAATACTGTACGTATCTGTCCTAGTGTTCATGCCACTGAATGCCACTCCAATCAAGTAGAATAGCCAGGTGAAGCTTTGTCTGAATTGGACTTCTCCAAAGTGTCGATATCCTGTCACCCCCCCCCCCCCCCCCCTCACTGGTTCCTCCCACCGACCCCTATGTCACTACAGGACACAGTAGTAGAAGTTCAGTTCCTGTAGTGAGCTGACAACACTGCCTCTGCTGCAATGAAATCCTAAGCAGTCTCATCAGCCCTTTCCAGTTTTCTCCTGTTGAACTACATAACACCTCCTCATATGTTGTGAGCAGGAGGAGTTCTGTAGTCTGCCAGGGTTGACCTCAAGCAAGTCTAACAACACTCATTGGGATTTCCGTGCAGCGGGAACAGTGGTATCAGCTCCATCAGGAAGTTACTAGGTTTTATGGGGACATCCATAAAGTTAAAAGTGGATCGGTCATGACTTACTGGCTCATAAAGGGGTAGCCGCCATACTCCAGCCAAAATATTACTTTGAGCAAGTGAGTAAGGAATAGAACCTCTGCTATGTTTTTCTGTAAGTGCGTGTCCCCATTGGAGAGATTTCCCCTCACTTCCTGTCTTAGTGATAGGTAATCAGGGAGACAGGAAGTGATAGGAATTCTCTCCAGTGTAGTGCAGGCAGGTTAGAATCTTGATCAGCCCACTCTTTTTCTGAAGCACGTGTTACTTGGGAGGTAATGCGTTAAGACCCTTTAGCACTGGTCAGTTTTTCAGTTAACCCCCTGGCGGTATTCCTGAGTGTAGCTCGGGGTTAACTTTCAGTACCAAAAGCGGTAACCCCGAGCTACACTAGGGATTACTGTGCAGCGTTGCTCTGGGATCCCATCGAGAACTTACCTTGTCCTGCGCTCCAGCAATGTCCCCCCTGCAGCGTCCCCGGCCATGTCCTCCAGCCAATGCCAGCATCCGTCTTCCAGGTTCCATTCCCTGCGAGCGTCGGGATGTTATAAAGCAAGCCGACGATCCCCACAGGATGGATCAGATCTGCGGATTGGGGAGCATAATGGATCGGACTCCGATCCATTATGCTTCCCAATCCGCAGATCCGATCCATCCTGCGGGGGTCGTCGGCTTGCTTTACAACTTACCTTTTCGTGGAGCGGATCCGGTGTCACCCTATATAGGTTGCATGCCAACGATCCCCGCAGGATGGATGGGATCTGCGGATTGAGCCTAATGGATCAGAGTCCAATCCATTATGCTCCCCAATCCACAGATCCGATCCATCCTGCGGGGATCGTCGGCTTGCTTTACAACTTACCTTTTCGTGGAGCGGGTCCGGTGTCACCCCATGTGGTAGATGCCACCCGGTGCGGCGCACACCCTGTGCACCTGCCTAGGGACGCCACTGGGGCCAGTTCACACTACAAAAGCACACTCCGGATATGTTTTTGTTTACAGTTTGCACCACATGCAGTTCCGGTGCAGTTTGCCATGTTCCAGTATGGTTCTGTGCAAAAAAAAAAATGCAGCATGTTTTACTTTTTTCTGCACTGGAAACTGGTGTGAACTAGGGCCATTGTAATACATGGAAAACACTGCATGCATATTTGATTCAGAAAGAAAATGCCCTGGACAGCATCTAGTGTGAATTAGCCCTAAGCCCCCCCGGTCACATCAAAGCCGATTTTGAAATCGTGCGACTTACAGTGAAGTCACACAATTTCAAAATCGGGTGACCTGAGGATTTCAGTAGCAATTTGCAAGACATCTGACACACAGATGTATATGTAAATCGCAACAAAAGTAGTGCATGTGCTACTTTTGAAATCCGTGCGGCTCTGACCAAGTCAGAACCGCACCGATATGACCGCTCTAATAGCGGACAATAGGGTGTGACTTGGCATACGATTTGCAAGTTGCCTGGCATGCAAATCGCACCCGAGGTGAACGGAGTGTAAGAGTTCTAAAAGCCTGGAGACGGGCATTCGGATCATGTGACCGCTGTGATTGGCTGTCACATGATCAGAAAGTCCCATTTTTAAGTGTGCATCTGGAGCTTACCGATCCCCACCAGCTACCGTGCAAGGAGTGTGCAAGGAGTGCGCAAGGAGTGCGGAAGGAGTGCGGAAGGAGTGTGCAAGGAGTGTACAAGGAGTGCGCTCTCAGCACAGTAAGTTGTTGTAACAGGTTCGCATGTATTCGGTCGCTTGGCGTTAAGGCCCACCTGATGAATGGCCACCTATATGCGTATGGCTGCCATCAAGTGATTAAAGTGTTGCCTGTTGGGAATTTGGATAGTTTTTTCGCAATTCAACAGGCATGCGCAGTTTTAAATCTCATGTATAAATGTGTGAGTTAGCGAGCGCACCATATAAAGCTGCTAATGCACAAAAAGGAACCACAAAACCTTTCTAGGAATATAACATAAAAATGGAGTCTGCAGCGCTATACAGATAAATACACTGTCATAAATATGACAAAAATATGACAAAAAGTAGAAAAGGTCCTATAAACTGAATGGTAAACAGTCCGAGGTAATATGATATCAGTCCAAATAGGTATATTCCAGTGATGGAGTATATATGACTTCAATCCAAATGGGTATATTCCAGCATCCTAACATGAAGGTGTAGAAAAATTGCCCACTCACCGGAAGTGCAATTTAATGTGCACATAGAAATTCCATGAAGCCGGAGGTCCCGTGAAGGTACAGCCTGATGATAAAGGTATCCTCTGGTGGTTAATGAGGTGACGGCTGCCAGAGATGATGGTCTGGACCTATTTCCCAAATCCTCCAGCCTGGGCGGACTCCTGGAAAGCTGGGCTGAGATGTGGAGGCTCAGTGCCAGGTAATAGAGATGAAAACGCTCATGGTGTAGTAATGTAAAATGTATTTATTTCGGTATAAATCATTATGGTAAAAAGTAAGCGTACAGGGTGATATTAACCACTTGCCTACCAGGCACTTATACCCCCTTATTTACCAGGCCAATTTTCAGCTTTCAGCGCTGCCGCACTTTGATTGACAATTGCGCGGTCATGCAACATTGTACCCATATGAAATTTTGATCATTTTTTTCTCACAAACAGAGCTTTCTTTTGGTGGTATTTAATCGCCTGTGGCACTTTACTTTTTGCGCTATAAATAAAAAAAGTGTAAAAATTTGAAAAAAAAAAAAGTTTCTTTGTTTCTATTACAAAATTTTTCAAACAGGTAATTTTTCTCCTTCACTGATGTGCGTTGATGAGGCAGCACTGATGGGCACTGATAGGCGGCACTGATGGGCACTGATAGGCAGCACTAAAGGGCACTGATAGGCAGTACTAATGAGGTAGCACGGATAGGCGGCACTGATAGACAGCACTAATGAGGTGTCACGGATAGGCGGCACTAATATGCAGCACTGATAGGCGGCACTGATAGGTGACACTGATGATGGGTACTGATAGACGGCACTGACTGGCATCACTGCTGGGCAGTGACTGGCGGCACTGACTGGCACAACAGCTGGGCACTGACTGGCAGCACTGCTGGGCTGCACTGGTGGGTGGCACTGGTGGACAGCACTGGTGGGTGGGCACAGGTGGGTGGCACTGGTGGGCACAGGTGGGTGGGCACAAGTGGGTGGCACTGCTGGGCACAGGTAGGTGGCACTTCTGGGCACAGGTGTGTGACATTGCAGAGTGGCACAGGTGGGTGCACTGCTGGGCACAGGTGGGTGATCTGCTCGGCACAGGTGGGCGGAGCTAGTGGGCGCACTGCTGGGCACAGGTGGGCGGAACTTGCGGGTGGCACTGCTGGGCACCGATCATCAGGGCACTGATCATCAGTGCCCTGATGATCGGTGCCGATCCCCGCTCTGACAACTGCCGGTTCTCGGCAGTACTTTCCTCACGATCTGACAGCGTGAGGAAAGTGCAGCCGAGAACCGACACTTGCATTTCCCTCTGATCAGCGTGTCATTGGACACCGCTGATCACGTGGTAAAAGGCCGCTGTGATTGGCCTTTTACCACATCACGTGATCAGCTGTGTCTGTAGGACACAGCGATCACGGAGATCGCCGGGTGCGCGCGCCCCAGGGGGCGCGTTCTGGGAGGACGTCATATGACGTCCACTCAGAACTGGCCGGCCGCAGTGCAGCCGTCATTCGGCTATCTGCGGTCGGCAGCTAGTTAACCTATACAAATATAATGTTAATGAGCTCTTGAATGCACTGACCAGTGGATAAATATGATGGCCACTGGACCTCCTGATCTGGTGGCGTGACGTCAAGGCGTGCAGAGGCTCCTCCTAGATGCGCTTCGTGTAATAACACGTCTCCTGTAGGGGTGATGCCATGTTAGGATGCTGGAATATCCCCATTTGGATTGAAGTCATATATACTCCATCACTGGAACATACCTATTTAGACTGATATCATATTACCTCGGTCTGTTTACCATTCAGTTTATAGGACCTTTTCTACTTTTTGTCATATTTATGACAGTGTGTTTATCTGTATAGCGCTGCACACCCCATTTTTTTAAAGTTTTAAATCTCGACATATTTGGTATCTATTCATTCGATGCAACATCATGGCTGCCATCAAGTGATTAAAGTGTTGCCTGTTGGGAATTTTGGATACTAGTTTTTCACAATTCAATAGGCATGCTCAGTTTTAAATCTCGACATATTTGGTATCTATTCATTCGATGCAACATCATCTCTTTTACCAAAAAAATTGGCTATAATACTGTGTTTGTGTGAATTAAAACTCATTTTAGTGTTTTTTTTCCTGAAAATGTGCCTTTGATAAATAACTCTGCAAACATTGTGCAGTATAAAAAAGAATGCAGCAAAGACCATATTATTCTCCATGGTTTTTGCTTTCAGAAAATATATATAACATTTGGTGGTTCTAAGCAGTTTTCTAGCACAAATTGCTGACTTCATTTATGCAACAGGGCCCTCGATCCCCTCATGTTTTGCATTGTATTGTTATTGTTCTGTCACATGTTCTGTCCCCCTTTGTAATGTACAGCGCTGAGCGAACTATTGGCGCTTTATAAATACTGTATAATAATAATAATGCAACAAATTTGCCAAGTGGTCCCTGTGTGAAGTAAGCACAACCTCCCCTCAGTGACTTTGAAACGTCTGCTCCCAGCAGTGACAGCTTCTCTTCAGTGAAGCCTCAGCGCTTTCTTGGGGAGGTCATTCAGTAGGCTAGAGGCCTTCCGCAGGGGCCTGTACATAGCAGTTACCATAGCAACTGCTTCACCACATAAAAAGGCGGGAAGCCGCCTCTTGAAGGAGTCGTGGGGACGTCATATCGAGAACGGTTGAGAGCTTCTGGAAGACCACGGGGGCGTGGCCTGTCGTCTGCTGAAGGTGGAGCGGCAGCCATTGTGTCGTACTGCGCGGAGTCTGAGGAGAGAAGGTGGCTGTGAGAGGAGGGGGAGCCCCGACCCTGAGGAAGGCAGAGAAGGGAGGAGAGGCAAGGTGAGGAGACTCTCTATACCCGGCCAGCCCTGTATGTGAGGGGTAGGCAGAGATATGAGCCAGTAGTATTCATTTATAATGAGGACTTCACCGTACATTGATATATATATTTCTCATCCTCATATATATGTGTGCGCACAGCAAACCCCCTCCTGTATATATGTGTGCGCACAGCAAACCATCCTCCTGTATATATGTGTGCGCACAGCAAACCCACCCTCCTCGTATATATGTGTGCGCACAGCAAACCACCCTCCTGTATATATGTGTGCGCACAGCAAACCACCCTCCTGTATATATGTGTGCGCACAGCAAACCACCCTCCTGTATATATGTGTGCGCACAGCAAACCACCCTCCTGTATATATGTGTGCGCACAAAACAAACCACCCTCCTGTATATATGTGTGCGCACAGCAAACCACCCTCCTGTATATGTGTGTGCGCACAGCAAACCACCCCCCTATATATGTGTGTGCGCACAGCAAACCACCATCCTGTATATATGTGTGCGCACAGCAAACCACCATCCTGTATATATGTGTGCGCACAGCAAACCACCCTCCTGTATATAAGTGTGCGCACAGCAAACCACCCTCCTGTATATATGTGTGCGCACAGCAAACCACCATCCTGTATATATGTGTGCGCACAGCAAACCACCCTCCTGTATATATGTGTGCGCACAGCAAACCGCCCTCCTGTATATATGTGTGCGCACAGCAAACCACCATCCTGTATATATGTGTGCGCACAGCAAACCACCCTCCTGTATATATGTGTGCGCACAGCAAACCACCCTCCTGTATATAAGTGTGCGCACAGCAAACCACCCTCCTGTATATATGTGTGCGCACAGCAAACCACCATCCTGTATATGTGTGTGCGCACAGCAAACCACCCTCCTGTATATATGTGTGCGCACAGCAAACCACCCTCCTGTATATATGTGTGCGCACAGCAAACCACCATCCTGTATATATGTGTGCGCACAGCAAACCACCATCCTGTATATATGTGTGCGCACAGCAAACCACCCTCCTGTATATATGTGTGCGCACAGCAAACCACCCTCCTGTATATATGTGTGCGCACAGCAAACCACCATCCTGTATATATGTGTGCGCACAGCAAACCGCACAGCAAACCACCTGTATATATGTGTGCGCACAGCAAACCACCCTCCTGTATATATGTGTGCGCACAGCAAACCACCCCACCTGTATATATGTGTACGCACAGCAAACCACCCTCCTGTATATATGTGTGCGCACAGCAAACCACCCTCCTGTATATATGTGTGCGCACAGCAAACCACCCACCACCCCCTCCTGTATATAAGTGTGCGCACAGCAAACCACGCCTCCTGTATATATGTGTGCGCACAGCAAACCACCATCCTGTATATGTGTGTGCGCACAGCAAACCACCCTCCTGTATATATGTGTGCGCACAGCAAACCACCCCTGTATATATGTGTGCGCACAGCAAACCACCCTCCTGTATATATGTGTGCGCACAGCAAACCACCCTCCTGTATATATGTGTGCGCACAGCAAACCACCCCTCCTGTATATATGTGTGCGCACAGCAAACCACCCTCCTGTATATATGTGTGCGCACAGCAAAACCACCCTCCTGTATATATAGTGTGTGCGCACAGCAAACCACCCTCCTGTATATATGTGTGCGCACAGCAAACCACCCTCCTGTATATATGTGTGCGCACAGCAAACCACCCCCCTGTATATATGTGTGCGCACAGCAAACCACCCTCCTGTATATATGTGTGCGCACAGCAAACCACCCTCCCTGTATTTATATGTGTGCGCACAGCAAACCACCCTCCTGTATATATGTGTGCGCACAGCAAACCACCCTCCTGTATATATGTGTGCGCACAGCAAACCACCATCCTGTATATATATATATATATATATATATGTGTGTGCGCACAGCAAACCACCCTCCTGTATATATGTGTGCGCACAGCAAACCACCATCCTGTATATATGTGTGCGCACAGCAAACCACCCTCCTGTATATATGTGTGCGCACAGCAAACCACCATTCCTGTATATATGTGTGCGCACAGCAAACCACCCTCCCTGTATATATGTGTGCGCACAGCAAACCACCATCCTGTATATATGTGTGCGCACAGCAAACCACCATCCTGTATATATGTGTGCGCACAGCAAACCACCATCCAGTATATATGTGTGCGCGCACAGCAAACCATCCTCCTGTATATATGTGTGCGCACAGCAAACCACCCTCCTGTATATAGGTGTGCGCACAGCAAACCACCCCCTGTATATATATGTGTGCGCACATAGCAAACCACCATCCTGTGTAAATATGTGTGCGCACAGCAAAACCATCCTGTATATATGTGTGTGCGCACAGCAAACCACCCTCCTGTATATATGTGTGCGCACAGCAAACCACCATCCTGTATATATGTGTGCGCGCACAGCAAACCGCCCTCCTGTATATATGTGTGCGCACACAGCAAACCACCATCCTGTATATAGTGTGCGCACAAACAAAACCATCCTCCTGTATATATGTGTGCGCACAAGCAAACCACCCTCCTGTATATATGTGTGCGCACAGCAAACCACCCTCCTGTATATATGTGTGCGCACAGCAAACCACCCTCCTGTATATATGTGTGCGCACAGCAAACCACCCCCTGTATATATGTGTGCGCACAGCAAACCGCCATCCTGTATATATGTGTGCGCACAGCAAACCGCCATCCTGTATATATGTGTGCGCACAGCAAACCACCATCCTGTATATATGTGTGCGCACAGCAAACCACCATCCTGTATATATGATGTGCGCACAGCAAACCACCCTCCTGTATATATGTGTGCGCACAGCAAACCACCCTCCTGTATATATGTGTGCGCACAGCAAACCACCCTCCTGTATATATGTGTGCGCACAGCAAACCACCATCCTGTATATATGTGTGCGCGCACAGCAAACCACCCTCCTGTATATATGTGTGCGGCACAGCAAACCACCCTCCTGTATATATGTGTGCGCACAGCAAACCCACCCCCCTGTATATATGTGTGCGCACAGCAAACCACCCTCCTGTATATATGTGTGCGCACAGCAAACCACCCCCCTGTATATATGTGTGCGCACAGCAAACCACCCTCCTGTATATATGTGTGCGCACAGCAAACCACCCCCTGTATATATGTGTGCGCACAGCAAACCACCCTCCTGTGTATATATGTGTGCGCACAGCAAACCACCATCAATATATGTGTGCGCACAGCAAACCACCCTCCTGTATATATGTGTGCGCACAGCAAACCACCCTCCTGTATATATGTGTGCGCACAGCAAACCACCCTCCTGTATATATGTGTGTGTGCGCACAGCGAACCACCCTCCTGTATATATGTGCAAACCAAACCACCTCTGTATATATGTGTGCGCACAGCAAACCACCCACCCCTGTATATATGTGTGCGCACAGCAAACCACCCCTGTATAT